GGCAACGAAGTGATAACTGTTGCAGGGAATGAGGAAGTTCAATACTTGTCAAGCATACTCGAAACTCTAGCCCGAATAACTGAGAAATGAGACGTCGAGGTGTCACTGCAAGTGACATTCCACAAAGGAAAATGGTGCTTGGAATTGGACGGTAAACAAAAAGGATCGGCTTGATTATTAGTATTTTTGTCAACGGATTGTTCAGGTTGTATATGTAATTTAAAGACTTGTGTAGCGTTACTATATATTTTGTATGCCATTAGAATTTATATTAAATATATCTTATATTTCTTCATTACATTTCGTGAATTCTATGTGTTTGTTCGTAAACGATGAATGGTAGACATAAGTTGCTTATTTTAGCAGGAATGAAATTAGTGGAACGGTCGACGTAATTTGAATTGGAAATAAACTTCATTGAGCACTTGACGGAAAGTACATATACAGTTACAAGCAATTACTAAGTTATAGCTGCATAAACTATACAGGAATAAAGTAGAAGTTGTCAGTGGATTAACACTATTACGAAAAGAATTACTATATAACTTCATCCGCACAAACTATACATGACTGCAAGTAAAAGATAGGAAGTGCTCAAAAGTTATTGAAAGCTACAAATTCGTCTCAATCACGTAGCCACCCAATTCAGCAGTTGCAATCTTCAAAAGTTGTATCTCCATTGTTAATGCTTCATTTAATGTTCGAATGAAAACAAAAAATGGATTAAATTCTGCCACAATGCAACGAATTCTACCTAGAGGCATGATGAAACGAATTCCACCAAAATGGATTAAATTTTGCCACAAAACTAGATGCATAAATATCTCAATACAACATTGTAATGACAGTATATGAAGGCGAAATTATAAAAATTGTTGTGTTAGTAATCTAAACTAATTAAATCTGAGCATAGTGAACATAGTGAAAAGCATTCCTTGCATAGTTACTACATAAATAGGGCATACAGAAGCATCCAAGTGGCTCTAATTCTACCTATAATCTTGCTTACTAGTGAATACTCCCTTTCAACACACACTGATGAAATATGTCTGTAAATTAAAGATAAACTAAATGCAGCAACGAAATTAATATCATAATTGCATTGTATTTCTCTCTATAAATTACGGGAAAAAATGAATATTATTTCTGGGGTTACGAGCACTATGAATGCAAACATTTATACAAATCACCAATACTAATGATATACTTACTAGTGCAACAAAATAGCGGACTGCTACTTTAGAAGACCTGATAGATGATGATTGCATCCATATCTTTCTTATCATCACGCGTTCTACAAAATGATTGGTGGCAGTGACGTAGCATATGCTCAAAATTTTTTACTGCAAAATATTATTCACCTTCATAAGGTTGGACCACCTTGTGATGGCATAGGTATATAATAGTAAGGAAACAAATGAACTGTCAAATAGTACAAAAATTAGTACACGTATTTGAAGGTATCATATAGAAATGTAATGAATTAACCTCGTCATCACCTTGTGGACTGAATATAACACTCGTTGGCAATGGAGGGAGTGCATCCGATGTTGGCAAGGGTCATGTATAGGCAAAACTTTAGGCATCGCCTTACATAAACAAAGAACATAAATAACACTTAAAACAATTAGTTAAATTATATGATGGTACTCACCAATAATAGTTGTGAATAAGAGAACGGTGTTTGCGTTGAAGATTGTTGTTGCAACGCTACAAAATCAGGTGTAGCCTCTTCATTATTACTGTGCCTTTGTCTCGGCCTCTTCCCTTTACTCACAGTCGAACTTGCTTGCATGTATAATGAAATGAACAAACCCCTGATTTCTTTAACTCCAACAGACTTTTTCTTCGCAGTCTCCAAGGTGCCCCCTTTTTCTTTGCAACATTGGGATCCCATATGTTGTCGGTTGTAGTAGTTTGCGAAGGAGTACACTAAGATGATAAATATATAATATGCTACGAAAACGATGTTACTTGTACTACATGACTTTGTAGACATAAGCTCATTCGCTTGTACTTTTATCCAGTTCAATATCACTCGTGTCCGGCACTCGTCATCTGCAGTAAGGTTAGCCACCTCCGCAAAAGCTTTACACTTACTGTCATACCTCAGCTGTCCGGGAATACTGACCAGACTGTCGTAATTCACTGCAACTCTTGTGTATGCTCTGCTAACATCTCTCCTCCATCTTCATAGTGTATAATGCTCAGGCAACTGTGTGACGTCATTATGAATCAATACCGCAATCGCATGTCTACAAACAATGCCTCAAAATTCGAATAAGTGGCAGCTGCATATAAACTCAGATGTCTCTCTTTCAAATGAAACAAAAGAAGTTTTCTTCTTTCGATCCTCATAATAGAGGACATCTTCACATACCTCATACGTGGTCCCTGAAAATCCCTCTGAAACAGATATTAGATCACAATATACCTTACCTTTGAATTCATCTTAGACTTCTTTGAATTTCGAAATACTATATATTGATTGAAAGTGTTTTTCGATTTCATAATTCGAAGCGCTCGGTACATTTGTGAATATGACTTGAAAATCAGCTTGGAACTCCTTTTTGACCTTACTTCTGAGTGCTCGTTCGTATTGTTCCACAAAATGCTTCAGATAGGTCTTCGAATGGACATAAACATCGAAGAACACATTCACGCTCTCACTTTGTTGAGTTGTGGACATCCCCGCCTAAAAAGCCATTTTCAAAAAGCAAGGCACCCAATGACCTCTATTAGCATACAACCCTGATAACCATTCATTATCCATCAACTCATACGTCTCAATCATCTCTTTCTAACATGCTTCCAATTCTTCAATATTCTGTGAATCATACGCCAACTGATATATAGCCGAAAATATGGAAGCCTTATCAACATGGTATCCAAACTTCTCCGACAACTTCTTCAAAATGTGCCACAAACACTACATATGCTTTGTATCTAGGAAAACGATCTCAATAGCATTTTGCATGGCCCTACCTTGATTAATAATTATTCCACGAGGAGCTCTACCGTGCATGCACTCAAGCCATGTCCTTAACAGCTGGAGAAAGGTATTTGTATCCTCATTCGATAACAATCCACAACCAAATAAAGTTGATTGACCGTGATGATTTACACCAACAAAAGGTGCGAATAACATGTCATACTTATTAGTGAGATGAATTGTATCAAATGTGAGAACATCGCCAAACTTCATATATGCTTGCCTATACCTATTATCAGACCAAAACACGTTCTTTAGGCGAGACTAGTTGTCTACATCCATACTAAAGAAAAAACCTGAGCATCATGCTTGCATTTTTGAAAAGTAACTTTGTATTGCGGCTGCATCTCCTTTTCCAAGTTGCAATCACCTCACTTGTTCAATATAATTGTGACAGTCCTTTTCCACAAATGTCATATTCTCATATCCCCTCGCTTAAACAACTGCGGAGTTGAAACTTTCGTGTAACAAAAATTCCTGCCAAATCATTCACTTCAAGTTTCCGTTTCACGGTTGCACTCAACTCTCTGTTGCATCGATACAACCTAGACTTGAAAAGGCTAGTTCTGTGGTTATGGTCAAGGTGGACATTATTAATTCTCCATATTCCATGACTATCCGAAGAAGTAGAGATCCTTGCTTTACAATCTGTTTGATTGATTGGTTGTGGATTTAAAGAGCCGCTTGCATTACTCGGTCTTCGACCTTCACGACTACATGTGAAGGTCACATTTTTCAATAATCCATCGTCCCCTCTTTTTAGTTTCTTTTTCGAACTGAAAAACCAATATCATAAGCTTACTTCTTATAGAAGTCATACAATTCTTTATTGTCATTGAACATTATACCCACCTCAGATACAATCAATCCATTTTGTCCTGGTGTTTCGTCTTCCACCCCAATAACATTCTCCACAGCATTATCATTATTGAATTCTGAAACAAGTTCCTCATTTTCGAATTCTGAAACAAAGTTCGTCATTTCTAGTTTCCATAATTTCCTATGTTGCAAGAAGAGAAGCTGTAATGTTATGACAAGTTCAATCTACATTAATGTAATATTTAAAAGGTAAGAAAAATCGCTGAAAATAATGACAGGAAACTAATTCATTAATTCCAGGCAAGATGTTATGTTATACTCAGAAATCATTTTGTAATTATGTTCATTTTTTGGGCAAGAGATAAGGTTGAATGTTGGGAAACTAAGTAAATAATAGATCAAAAAAACTTCTTGTAACACTTTTAGACAACAGTAAGAACAAATCCCAGATCAAGAAATTGAAATTAATGACCGACCAAAAAAAATAAAATCCGAATGTTTCAAACATAGAAAAAGGCAAAACCTACAGAATAAAAAAATGAAGAAGGAAATTTTAGAAAACCAAGGAGATAGAAACAACAAATGTTATTCGGCCTACAAAGATACCTTCAACATCCCCCAAATTTTAGCAGATGTAAGCGCTTCCTCGTTTTAATTTTGATGCTTGGCAACAGAGTCCGAACTCGACACGGGTACTCGCAAACCCTAGAAAACCTGACTCCAGTAGTTTATTATCATCTTATAGTGCGGCTGACGGTTGAACAAAAGGATGGGCTGAGAAAATAGATGTAATTCCTTTTTTGGCCAAAGATTGGAATGTAATGGGAAAATTGGGGAAATGAGGAGGGTTTTCCCCAAGAAGTGTAGCACCAGTTGCCTTGCCATCGACGGAGAGGACTTTTAACCACACAAATATGCAACTCTTGATTAGACAAAAGAAAGGAATGGACTGTGAAAATGGTGGAAATGAGGCAAGTTTTCCCGCTGTTGTTTTAGTCCATCCCTTTGTTTTTTCAGTGGCAAAAAATATCAAATCTTGCCACCTCAGCATTTTTCAAAATTTCTATAAAGTACTTGCAAGCCTCTTTCGGTACAGCCAGCATTATGTGGGGTTCCTCACCCATTGTCATTCCCATATTTGTGATGTAGTATTATTTTCTCAATAATTTGAAATTCTTTGCTCCAACAAAAATCTCTGTCTGTCTCCGCACACACAGCGCCCAATGTACAAAGATTTCGAATTTGAAATATGAAAATAGGTCCCACAGTAGGGTTTTGGGAGGGAAGGAGAAAGAATTTCAACGGTCCTCTACTCCTCTTTTCCTTTTCCTTTCCCTTGCATTAGCCCAACCAAAAACAATCATCCATCTCTAACAAGATCAATAATCAAAACCAGAACACACATACATACACGCAAAGAACAAAAAAATGGTGGTGGCAAAGAAGGCGGGGTACGAGGAAAGCCGGCAAAAGAGGCTGGAAGAGAACAAGAAGAGAATGGAACAGCTCAATCTCAACAAGCTCGCTCAAGCTCTCCATACCCCTAAATCCTCCCCTGTATCGACATTAAATAACAAAATTTAGCTTCTTTTATACTTTCCAATCCATCTTAACAAACACGTGATATTGGATTGTTTTGTTATATGTGATAGATGAAGAAGGTGAAGCCAAAGGTACCCAAACAGCCATTGGATCTCTCTGCTGTGAGAAGATCAAGTCGAGTCGCAGACAAGCCTCTCCCTAATTACAAAGAAGTCCGTAAACCATCTGATTTTCTCACGAATGGCATCCCTTTTTTGTGTCTGATTCTTGCAATAGTTTTTTGGTGATCAAACCCCTTTGCTTTTAGACTTAACTAGTCCTAAAGACTGGGACCAACGACAGACAGATGAACTGGTTAAATGATCGTATTCCTTTTTAATACGCTTTTACATGTATCTATAAACTAGCTTGTGAAAATTCTTCGTCAGTAGGGACTGATAACTTGACTCAGGGTTGATTTAACCCGGATTCTGTTGATTTTAAATCAATTGTTGAAAAGAGGAAAAACCAGATTATTTGAGTAAAGACTTTTAAACTAACAATTTAAGTGTATTGTTAGGTTTCAAAATGTCCATGATGAGAGGGTCTTAAAAATTCGTGAGTGTATAAATTGAAACAAAACTATTAAGTGATTATTTTTGGAAATATCCAAGTTTGCATTTCTACTTTTTCGCAAGTTCTCTTCACTGATTTATTTAGATATTTCAGAAATCAGAATATTAATGTTTTTACTTCACAAAGAGGATTATTATAGGATATCCAATCCATTTTTTCTTTATTGGTGAAGGAAGTGCCTCAATGATTTTGCTGAACTCCTTTTTGAAGCTAGCTTATGCATTTATGTTAGGTAGCATAAAAGTAGGCTCTTTAGAGCACATTTAGTACCTAGACTTAACAAAATGAACGAGATTAAAGAAGCAAAATGTGTAAAACTTTCCATTATTCTGTCTAGTTTTGTGGAGTCCACCGGTTCAAATATGCTATTTCTAGTATAATCCTTTTATTCGTATGACGTCACGAGGTTCAAATAAATGCTCTTGTTTTAGGTTGGAGTTGAACCATTGGGGTTGCCAAGGAGGAGGTTTGTACATAGTTCCTTCACTTGTTTGATTTTCCACATGAAACAAATCAATGCTATATATTATACTGATTCCTCGTTTTTTGTGGGTTTCTGATGTTCATTTATAGCTATCAAAGAAGGGATTTGCTAAATCGAGTCTATGCCTCAGATGAACATCGACAATATGCTATTGAAAGAGCAGAGCAACTACAATCAAGTTTAGATCAAGATATTCCTAATTTTATTAAGCCTATGCTTCAATCACACGTCACAGGTGGATTTTGGCTGGTAAGTTTAGTAAAATATTATGTTCGACTCTTAAAGAAGTCAACAATAAAGAAGTTAGCGTAATGAAGAACGCTAAGGATATATTAGCAACAAAATATATCTGGTATAATGGACCAGATTTTAGCCTTTTCGTTTCTAATACCGTCTAGCATTCTAGAGTCCACCCTATAAAAAGTTGGGGACTGTTTTTGGCAACTGATATCCTACAATTTCAAATCTTTTCATGATCGAGAGAAGTTTGTCATCCTTCGGTTGTCGATTAATTCATCATAATCCATGTTACCCACGAAGTTTAAATTTTGGAAAGTTTTTTGTCCCTATGAGACATGTTTGGTAAGTATGAGTTTACTAGAACATAAAGAAGTAAAAGTCTTGGTCATTCTTTTATGTACTAAACATGCTTTTAACATTCTAAGACATCTGTTTAATAAATTTAATAACTTAACTAAATGGACTAGACTTTTCAAAAACTATATAGACTTAAACCATGATAGTAATGGACATGAGTTTTAGAATCATCAATATGAGGTTGTTTATAGCGTATTTGGGAAATATATCGGCTTGGAACATGTTTTTAGAATCATCAACAATAAGTTAATATTTTGTGGTCAATAAAATTGGGTAGCTACTCGAATCCTTTTTCGCTACTTTGTTCAGTTTGCTGTTTTCAGAACATGCAATATTGTTAATACTACATTTTTGCAATAGGGTCTTCCACATATCTTTTGTAAAAATCACCTTCCAACTCGTGATGAAACTATCATTCTAGTGGATGAAGCGGGCGACGAACATCCAACAAAGTACCTTGCTCAGAAAGCAGGACTTAGTGGTGGATGGAGAGGTTTTGCAATTGACCATGAGTTAGTGGATGGGGATGCACTGGTTTTCCAGTTAGTTTCTCCTACGACATTTAAGGTAATCTTGCAGAGTTCAATTCTGCTCTTGCTGGTTACATTTGATTTACTTATTTGAATTGTTAGTGTCTCGCTTATTAAAACATGGAGGTAGTAAAATGCAAAAATTGCTTGCAACCAACTTTGAAAACACAAGGCTTACAAGGTTGCGGCCGTCGGATAGCATATGATGATGTTTCTATCTATGCAGATGGCATAGATTAAACCTAGAGTGTGTTTGGTTTGCAATATTAAATTGGATTAGACCATGCAGATAGCATGATTTTAGTTTCATTTTCTTTCTTAGTAGTGCCCGGTGTTGTTGAATGTAACCTGCCAAGCATGCCGTTAAAGTCAAATGGCACAAGGACAAAAGTTTATCCTTTAAAGAACATGAATTCTTGCAATCGATTATTTCTTCTGATAATGAACTGAACACCATAGAAGTTTCCTGCATTGGGCACTAGGATCATTCATTGCAACTAAACTATTAGAGTGGAACCAAAATATAATTATCAACTAGGCAGCCAAATGATTTTCCCCTATGTAGTACGGACACTCTAACTGGGATAGCATGTCCATGTTCGACATATGTCGAAATCGACACTTTTCGGGCACTATACAATAATCATTTTTCTTTCTTACTATAATTATTATATATTTTTAACTCAAAGTTATTAGTAAATAACAAATAAGTACTCAAGTTTAAAAGATTTCAACAAAAGAAAAAAATAAATAATAAGTATAAAACTAAATTTAAATTATATAAATGAAGAATTTTAAAGAATTTAATGAACGTGTGGACGACGTGTCGTGTCAGTACTTTTTGAAAAATCACTAGTCGACGTATCAACACACGTGTCCGTGTTGGTGGATCATAGATTCCCCCCTTGGTTTACTAGTTTATATTAAATTGTCATATGGATTAAATTATGTGTTTCTTTGTTTGAGTTTTCTCTGTTTTGGTGGAAATGTGATCTGAAATTCATTCTATACTTCTAAAGTAAAATCATATTGATGTTGGTATTGTTAATAATTCATTTTACTTCTCATTAATATATTTTAAATCTGAATATTTTGTCGTTCTTGTTATTGCTGTTACCTCTAAATTTCAGGTTTACATTATAAGGGTCAATGAAACTGGAGATGGCGATAGCTGATTATTCTTCTATGTTACTTTGTACTGCAGTAAGTAAGACGAATATGAAGGTACCATGGTAATTATACGTTACATCTTTTGTAGACAGTGTAGAAAATACTAGAAAATCAATTCTTAGGGTACATCTGGACTAAATAGAATTGAAGAAAAAAACATATTGTTAAAATTTGGCATGTTTTTGATGCAGTTTCTACATGACAGACTACAAAGGGACGAAGCTTACTTGTGAAGAATGTAGGCCAGCATTACTATTAGAATTTGTGCATTAGCAAGTGTTTACAGCCCATAAAATTTTTGTGGCCTGCCTGTGTGAGGGCTAAAATAGAATTGATAAAAAGATCTTCCGTGTATAATTTTAGAGACTTCTTCTCGTAGTTTATGTAGAATTAGTTTCTTTTAGATGTACTAACATCTGGGCTGAATGGTTTTTCTTGGTTTAGATTACTAAAGTTATGAATGTTTTCATTATCTGTTGCACTTAAGAAAATATTCAGCTAATATTGCAAGTTTTTATTTTAACTCAAGCATACGTTTGTTTTCCATCAAAAAGAATTTTGGGGAAAATGAGTTTTAGAATAATGATTTTTGGAGAATGTGAGGTTAAAAGTGGAAAAAGTTCTGAATTTATATGAAAAATATTTTTTTGTGTGAATGTGTGGTTAAAATGAGCTTTTAAAAAAATTAATTTAATGGAAGACAAATAGTGGCTAAGTGTCCATAATGATTTCGTCTCTTGTATTGTTTGCAGAAAATTTACCTCGTGGGTGTATAAAACTCTACAGAAGCCCAGTTTTATAGTGAATTTTACCAAAAGTGAGTATTACAAGGATAAAATATTTGTATAAAATCTTGTTGTACTCACTCTTATAAAATTAGCTGATTTCACGTGAATTTAAAAAATGTCGATTTCTGATTCCACCCCAATTGTGAGTAGTAAGGAAATTTGTTAAAAAAAAAAAAAAAAAAAAAAAAAATTTTAAATTGTGTTTTTATTAGGAAATTTTTTAAAAAAAAAAAAAAAAAAAAAAAAAAAATTGTACATGTAGTATGATCTTTATTATAATTGGTATAAAAATAAGCAAAAACCCATCTTGTGAATGGTAATTTGGGAGGGTAATTCTAGTAGAATACTGATTTCTTGAAAAACGAACTGCCACGAACGATGATCTTGAAGAGGGGGATTGGAATTCAAGTATCCAATTATATCCCAAATCACTCGTGGAAGGCTTTTCTTATGGGTTCACTTCGAAAATTTTTCCATTACAATCCAGTTTTAAGGGTGAAATATGTTAAAAGTTGTTATCATATTATTGGCATAATTGAAAATTAATTTTTAAATTGGTCATTTTTTGTGAAATATAGTCCTGTCATCCACATGGGGCCCACCATGTGAGTAATCTGGTGGACTTCTGTAGCCTCCTTTCTGTACAAAAGGCTTAAACAACTAATTAATATGAATTGAATAAAATAGATGGAGCTAAGAAAAAAAAGTTAGAACGTTGTCTTTTATACCATTTCAAACATAAAACATACATACTCATTGTTGAAAAGTACAAAACACACACTTGATGGAATAATATAAAAGACGAAAATTAAGCTAAAATCTTATTCACTGCGTTGTTTGATCTATACGAGGAAGAAAATAAAGCTAACATGGGTGGGTATACCAAATATACCCTCAGATAAGAATACTTGGAAATTTACAATGGCAAGCAGAATAGTGGCTGGCATATTCTCCTATTCCCTTTTATTGAGTTACGCCTCTTGTTTTGGGCTGGTTTGCATTTTTTGGCTTTTGTATGACTAAAAAATTGCACATCTGGTAAATCTTGCAACTATATTTATTTCTCGAATGTAGAAAATAAGTTTTTGGGAGGTCCTTGAACATTTCGTGCTCATAATTTTGCTAGTTGTTGACCAAACGACGGGTCAATGCAAACAACAACCTGCAGTGTTTTCAATAAAGGTATTGAAGTGGGTAAATAGCAATCAAATCTATTAGCTCAGAAGAATAAGAGGTATTAGAAAGATAAAGGCAACTGCCTTGTGGTAAGGAATGAATACCTTGCCCACACTTTTACCAGAATGAAGGTAGTCAACTGCATCAGCAACCGAATTAATGCCTAAAAATGGTTTCGGATCGACAGCGACCTGTCATACAGAGAGAAAGCAAGTCTTGTGAAGATATGTATAATCATGTTCGCTACTTGTATCCAAAACATGCACATGATGATCCAAGTATTTTAATAATCCGATTTAAGAATAATTATGTCTGTAGGTTATGACTACTTGTAGTCAAGTAATCTGAGACAGAAACTTCCTGTGCATATATGAACCAAAAAGTGCTGAGCAAACGTATTCTAACTGAGTTGCTATTTGTGTCCATTAGAGATAATCACTGTATGATGTTACATTAAATGATAAGACCAATAAAATGGTCTCATATCCATAAATGGTCTTATATCTTTACATTTAATTGGTCTTATCATTTCTTAGCACATCATATGCCACATTGCCGAGTAGCAATCATATCTAATGGTATTGGAGATAAATAGCATTATCCATTCTACCTTGAGCTTTCCTGAGGAGTGAAGATGAACCAGCTTATCTAGATGCTGATGCCAGAGGTGAGCATATTGTACTAAGAAAAAGCCAGTCTGAAAATATTCAGCATCAAGCCATTAAAATAATGGGACAAATCAAGAGTCATCTGGTCGTAATTCAATCATCATGAGATATGTTAAAACAAAAACAAAGTTCAAATTTAACGAAGTCTCATAGAAAGGAACATATGATATCTTCAAGTCATATTTTGGGCATATGGACATTACTTACAGATGGAATCATTTCCTCGAATGATTCGCTATTCAGTTTGGAGGAAATTAAGTTGGAAACCAATTTTACAAGGCCACTAGGCCAATAACATTAGCCTTTGATTACAGGTCAAATTGCCAAGGACAACGTTAGGTGAAATGGAGATTCTACATTTTGTGCAACCAAATAAAAACGCTACTGGGATAAACTTCTACAGATGAATATTTGAAATGGCTAGGATACATAAAGACCATAGAATATTCAATAACAACATTAACAGTAATAGAAAGGCAGATAAAGTCATAAAACAACGATAGTGGACTGAGAACAACATACTGAGCAATATAGGAAAAATCAATAATGAACAACAATAGTAAACTATTTATACACTCCCGCGGCTAAGTATAGTGCTTGTACTTGCGATGAGTGAATGAGAAAAAATTTATCTGAAAACATAATTACTCTATTAACTGAAAGTCAAACTTTACTGATTCCAAAGATACCATATTAAAATGAAAAATGGAAAATGGCCACCAACCAATTCATTGATAGCAAAAAAATCAGAGTAAAACAGTCGATTAACGTGTGAAACGTATAAAATATAGATCACATACCACAGTCTGGCTTTTGCTCAGAATCTTTTCACATAACCCCGTATAATTTCTTGGCTTCCACCCATGTTCTCCTTGATACTAAAATCAGATGAATTTGTCATCAGACGTTAAAACAACGAATTGGAGACCAAGAATTAAATGATAAAGAAACTTGTTTCCTTTGAGATGAGTAGTAGTCTAAATATATGGTAGGTCAATCAAGACTGATGCCAACAGATGGAAGTAAATACTGTGTATGTTCAGAATCAAGTCCAAACCTGAGAAATCATTCCGATCACAAGAAGTCGGCCATAGTTTGCCAAAGCATTCAAGCAGAGATTAAACATTTCACCACCAACAGATTCATAGACAATATCAACACCTTTAGGGAACTCAGCCTTTAGAACCTGGAAACACGAAAACATGCTCGCGATTTTGGAAGATTTTAAGCATTTATACCGTTGTCAATGGAAAAACTTGTATAATTTAAGCATTTGTGTAGACATCTCATTTTGTCCTCTCCCTTTCCTGAAATAAAAGGCCCTTGATTTGCATAGAATACATCAAGAAAATCACCATATAATAACATAACATCAGAGGTTCCATTTTTGATAGATCATGGAATTTCATTTTTCTTCTCATTCATATTTTGATAAAGAACTTCACGGGTAGTAAATCCCAAGGCTTTCCTCTAATGACGATCCTTGATCTATTTTTAGGTTTTAAGTGTGAGCCTCATGCCTTGATTTTACAAGGTTGGTAGATACTTGTTTTATGTTTCCATATCTATTAAGTTTCAACAGAGATCCCCTTCATGATGGCTCAGTTATTGTGTCTCCATGTGTATATCAATTTTATCTTAGTTAAATTCCGCGTATAAGTAATGTACCTGTTCTTGGTTTCTCAACTATTCATGTGCTATATGTGACCAAGAAGTAATGATAAACCTTAAGGAACTGTCGTTTAAATGGTTGATGGGAGCCTAACACAGCATAATGGACTTAACCTACCAATCCTAATATTCTTAAGACCAACTCTAGACTTGTCAACAATTGAGTCCCTTCAACTTCTTTTACAAAAGAAAGGAGGGTGACCTAGCACACCCAAACTTAATGTTGGGTGCCAAATATATATTGACCTTTACACATAAAAAGTTGCAAAATTATAAAATTCCTCAAAAAATCTTCAAATCATCTAGTCTTTTGCCGAATGTCCAAAAGGTTGGCAAATAAAAAGTACTAGTAGTAGACCTTGTTCTACATTAGAACAGAAGTAGGCAAACCATGTCAATATTTGTGGCCACATAGCAGTCAGAACAATTATCATTGCAAGATGTTCTGGAAACTAGGGGGCTTGATTTCATATGTTTGGGCGCAAAATAAATAAAAGACAAATCAACTTATGACATATTGCGAAAACTAATCCCTGACTTCAGAGTGTTACATCATTCTGCGGTCACGCACGAGAGAGAGAGAGAGAGAGAGAGAGAGAGAGAGAGAGAGAGAGAGAGATGAAAATTCTGAAGCATTTTACTTCTAATCAACCATTAATCTAACTCACAGGATAAGATTTCATCCATTACAACAGAAACAAGGAAAATAAAAAGAAAGAATAGATGAATCTGTATAAGGACCTGAGATAGGGAGAGGGAAGTCAAAACTTGAAAATTCTGAAGCATTTTATTTCTAATCAACCACTAGTCTAACTCACAGGAAAATAAAAAAGGAAAAGAAAAGATGAAAATTCTGTAGCATGTTTTTCCTAATCAACCATTAGTCTTACTCACAGGATAAGGCATGTAGAAAAGAAAAGAAAAGAAAGAAAGACAAAACTGTATAAGAGATAAGGACCTAATGTTTACAGAGAACGCTTATCCACTATCCAAGGAATTCATTTCTTTATGAATTAAACTAGTTGTAGATTGATTTTGTACAACTAGATTAACAGTGGATGACGTGTAAAAAGTTTGGCCATTGATTTGAATAAATGTTATTCAAATCAATGGCCAAACTGCCTCGTACCTCATCCAATGTCAACGAAACTGTACATGTAGCAGGACTATTATTTAATATTTCAGGAGTTTTATTTCTGAGTAACTGCATTGAAGATATCTTCACTAAATATATGTCAAGAAACTGTGTTTTCCCCACTAAGCTTCTTCACCAGGAGAACGACCATCCATTTTGATAAAGATGTTAAAAGGAAGATTAAATAGGATTGAGCTTTAATGAGAAGTGGCCCCACATAATGGCATGTCTGCAATGTAGATCCATCATATCATGACTTTAAAGAGTTAGGACACAGAACCAAGTAAAGAAATTGTTCCTATCACATAAACATGAGCAGTTGGATTTGTGTTGGTCTAATAAAAAAGAATGGACGAGATCACATCCAAACAATTATATGTAAACCCAAAGCAAATTTCAACCTTGAGATGCTAGAGTGCATTATATTTTTCCACCTTCCACATCCTTACTCTCTGACCACCATTTATGCAAGTGTAAAATAAAATAAGGAACAACAAAATATTACGTACAGTTTTGATATTTTCTTCTTTATAGTCAATGACTCGATCAACTCCTAAATCTTTCAAAAGCTTGGCCTTTTCTTTGCCTCCACAAGTTGCAACAACCTTATTTCCAGCTAGTTTAGCAAGCTGCAGTAAGTAATAGTTGTTATAAGCTCATTATCATTGCAGTAAGAATGACTTGAAAGTAATATTATTTCTCTTCAGTACAATTTAAGAGATGTTTCACATTCTTGGTGATGCAAACATGAACCAAAATGAAATAAGAAATCTAGAAGAAAGGATCTTATTCAGTTTATCTACCCAAAACCATAGAGGGTGACCAGAAACAGTGGACAAAAATATGAAGGATAGATATTGGAGCAGTGGCAAGGATGCTCTACTGCAATCTGGCATCAAGACCTCACATATATAAGCCACTCTCCAGGTAAAGCTGTAAACATTTTATTAGAGGCGTGATTGATTATTTATTTTTTATAGCTTTCCTTGTGTAGACATGATTTATAGCTTTCCTTCTATAGCCCCCAATTGTAATTTTGTTTCCTTGTATATTCATATGAACATCTATAAATAAAAGACGAGCAATGAAGAGATCATTCAACAAAATTGGTATCATAACCCTATAAATAAATAATCAATCACGCCTCTAATACATTTAACCTATCCAACAAACCTCTTAGATGAGAGTTTCCCACTAATAAAAGGGTGATCAATTGAAACAAGTAAAGGCTAAAAGAATTGAGATAGTTTCTTTAAAACAGATAAATAGATTAAGCATCACCATGCATACTGCAAGTTTTCCATGTATTATTGGCATATCTTAATGCTGACAATATACTTGTATGAATATATTAGACGTGTATCCATGTCATCATTACAAATACACCTGCACAGCAAACTGCCCGGTGCCTCCTGCAGCAGCAGTCACAAGAACTACTTTTTCTGATTCCATTTGAGCTGCCTACAAAGTTAACAAATGGGGAAAGGCTATGAAATATGTCGTCGAAATAAAATAACACAAGCAAAAGAATTTTTTTCTACTAGCTGCAAAGATTAAAGATAAATATAAAGGTTATGCTGAGAATACAAAACATTCAAAATAAAAATTCTTGAATAAGGCAGAGGAGAATAAAAGAATTAAGGAAAAAGGACGTATCTCAGACATGAGTGAAGAAAAACCTTTTCTAAAGCTATAGATGCTGTCAATCCTGATGTGAGCATGGCAACAACTTCTGGATCTGGCCTGTCCACAGGAAGGATGTGTTTTGAAGATACCTAAATTACATGTTTATGCATATTATCACCTCAAGAAATATGGCCAAAAAAATAAAAAAATAAAAAAGAACAACAAAACCGACCTATCTCAAAGTTAAACAAATATCTATGATTTACCATGGTGAATTCAGCATAACTTCCAAAAGTCATTATAGCCGCCGGAGTGCCAGGCTTTAAGTTTGTAACAGAATCACCTACAGCAACGATTATTCCCACACCCTGAAATATGAGACAAGAAGATTATGTTTGTGAACCCCAAAATAATTGTCTGATCTCAGATAAATCAAAATGTACCTGAAATAAAAATATAATGAACTATGTAAACGGAAAGACAAATGATAAAGCAAATGGAAACAAGCATTAAAATGACACTATTTCATCACGAACTACTTCTTTCAGTCAATGGGGCAATATGTAGGAACTCTAAAAAACTGATGCATCCATAACTAATAAACTGATACAGAGACAGAGTCGTGAATGAGTATCAACAAGTCCAAAGCAAAAATTAAAACTAAAACAGACAACTTAAAGACAATAAATCTATTAAAAAATTACAGGCATCTTCATAAAGATTGCATACACTTTACCACGTAAAACTTAAGAAATATCTATAAACAACAATATCCTGACTATTTAATATATTACCTTCTTCCATCTGATAATAACCAACACATAAAATATTACTGATATGTTCGATTGAGTGCAATGCACGTATAAAGTCATGCAATAATCTTTGTACAAGAGATAGTTAACAAGATTTGATATAAAAAGTTCAGTTATTTAAGTGATGTCCAAAAGAATTTTTTGGAAGATCATATCACTTAATGATTTTCAACCACACGCCACAGACAGATTCAAGGAGATAGAGAAGCATCAAATGTCTTATGCAATGAATCATACGATTGATGTGGAAGGTTTGAGAGATACGTGTGAGAATGTATTGCTTGTATGAAGTAGAATGTCTAAAGGATTATATGTACGACACAGAAAAAACAAAAGGGTCATATATATGATGAAGTTGTATCACGTGTGACGTGGAAAGAAACAATGGTCATATGTCTTAAAGTTGATTTGCATTCATTAAATGTGAAATGTTTAAGATGATCATATACGTCACTGACCTTTGACATGAATTGTTTAAAAGGTCCTGTGAATGATAATTTGGATCATACATCTGAAGAGGAACAACAGAAAGACCAGCAAAGAATTGGTTGTATTGAAAGTTTCAAAAGTCCATCGTTGATCATTCTAACGTTTATTGAAGTATTTGAAGGACTTCATACATTCAATGTGATATTCTCAGAATCAAAGATCCAGATCAAGCAATTGGAGGAATTAGACGACAAAAAAACTGTTCGTAGAAGTCAAACGGACACTGTGCAACAAGCAACAAAAAAATACTTCCTGCAGAGACTTTTCTCTTTCTCATATAAAGATATTTTTTCACAATTCGCTATTAGAAAGTCTATAAGTATTCTTCCTATCTTGAAAGCTGCTCAAGCTACTAGTTTATAATCAACAATAAACCTAAATTCTTCTCAAAACTCTAATTCACAAGATTTTTGGAACGAAAGAAAGACACAGGAGTAATTGAGTTGCAAAGCTTTAAATCAGTTTTTCGAGAAAAACCATATGAGGACATTATCTATTTTATTTATTTCTTGTTGGACTTTATTTTAGTTTTGGATTCTTATTTATGTAATTAGGCTTGTATCGGCCCAAACCCATTCTAATTAGGGTTTTCTCTTTACTACTTAAACCTAATTTCCTATGTAACTTCATTAATTTGGATGAATATGAATTATTGAGATTGGTTGTGGCGTCTCCTTCCTCTCCCTTCCCCTTTCCCCCTGAATTTCTGCTCTTCTCCGGTTTCTTTCCTCCTGCTCTGTGGTTCTCCCTTCCTTTCTTGCTATCCTCTTCTTTGTCCTACATCACATTTGGTATCAGAGCCGAATCTTGGGTATTTCCTCTCATAAAATCCAAAATTTCTTCTTATTTTCTTCTCGAAATTTGTTGGAACAACACAATTAAAAAAGATTTAGCGTAAAAGCAGCGTTTTTCATTTTTTTTTAGTTCTCTGTCTTTGTTAAAAAAAAAAAAAAAAATCGTGTTACTGTTCACAAGTACAATTCACACCCGAAATTTCATTTTTAGTATTTTGGTTAGTTCGTAAAAAAAAAAAAAAGTTACTGTTCACATGCGAAAATTTCAGTTTAGGTTTTTTTTGCAATTTTAGTTTCACCCACAAAATAATAATAATAATAATAATAATAATAATAATAATAATAATAATAATAAAATCTCGCTTGCTGCTGTTTCTTCTATACAATTGTAGTGTTGTTTCACAAATTCCAACCCTAACATTCAATCCTACTTACACAAGGCCCAATTCCGTTTAGCCCAATTAACCCAGCCTACTCTCTATGATCTAAGCCAACTCCCCAAACACTAATCCCAGCTGGCCCATCTCTATAATAGGATTCAAACCCCTTCCCATCTGGCCAGTCCTAAATATCCAACCAAGCCCGATTATAACCAATCCATTAACATAAAATACCCTCATAGTTTTACCCGATTCCTCTCTCACAACCACTCTCCTGCCGCTGCTGCCTCTAATCGCCACCACTTCATTATCTATTGTACCCAGGCATCCAGAACACTACCACTTTATCGCCACAAGTCACCACCACCAACCCAAGATTATACACTTCCACCACAGTTACCGCACTCATATTGAAGCAGTGAGGATTTGGGAATATTTTCATATGTATTATTGATCAGAATGAATACATATATATACACAAAGATCTGAAAATCAGATCCTTAATCAGCTCCTAGAAAAATAGAAATTACCCTATCTATCTATGGTATACAAAAAATCAGCTAGAAAAATTAGGAAACTAACTCCTAATATTCAAACCATAATTATAGGAAAATAATTACTTCTCTAATTGACTAGTTTGTTTTCCTACACTCCCCCTCAAACTAGGCGATATATGTTTATTAAACCAAGCATAGAACTTAGTTCAATGAAGTTGGGTCGAAACAAGGCCTTAGTTAAAATATCTGCTGCTTGCTGTCGAGAGGGCACATAGTTGAGAGAAATCACATTGCCTTCTATTTTCTCACTGATGAAGTGCCTATCGATCTCAACATGCTTCGTTCTGTCGTGATGAACTGGATTTTTGGCAATTGCAATTGCTGATTTGTTGTCACACATCATCTTAATAGGATTTGAATTTCCAATCTTGAGTTCACCTATCAGTCGATTCAGCCAAATTCCTTCACATATACCCTGAGCTAATGCTCGAAACTCGGCCTCGGCACTGTGCGGGCTACCACTTGCTATTTTTTACTTCTCCAAGTCACCAAGTTTTCCTAAACAAATGAACAGTACCCAGATGTAGACTTTCGATCAATAGGGGACCAGGCCCAGTCTGCATCTGTGTAAATTTCAAGGGATTGATTAAGTGTTTTCCTTAACATTAACCCCTTTCCAGGGTCCTTTTTAAAATACCTAAGAATCCGACTAACTGCCTCCATGTGATCCACTGACGGATTACTCAGGAACTGGCTGACAATACTAACTGCAAAGCTTATATCCGGGTGTGTGTGTGTCAAATATATCAGCTTCCCCACCAAGCGTTGATATTGTCCCTTATCCGTTGCTAACTCTTCAGTCCGAGGCATCAATTTGGTATTAGGGTCCATAGGAGTCTCAACCGGCTTGCAACCACTCATACCGGTTTCGTACAGAAGATCCAAAACATACTTGCGTTGTGAGACTGAAATTCCTCTACTTGACCTGGCCACCTCCATTCCCAGAAAATATCTTAGATGTCCCAGGTCTTTGATTTCAAATTCCTTGGATAGTAGAATCTTAAGTCTTCTCATCTCTCCTTCGAGATTCCCGGTCAGAACTATATCATCAACATAGACAATCAAAACTGTGATTCTCCCATCTGTGAAGTGTTTGATGAACAATGTGTGATCTGCTTGAGACTGTGAGTAACCATCCTGTTTGAGCACCTTAGTGAACCTGTCAAACCATGCTTTGGGTGATTGTTTGAGCCCATACAACGCCTTTTGCAGTTTGCACACCTTTCCCCTTGTTTGCTCAGTTTCAAAACCAACTGGTATATCCATATAGACTTTCTCAACTAGGTCCCCATTTAGGAAGGCATTTTTCACATCAAGCTGAAATAGAGGCCAGTCTTGATTGACAGCAATGGATAATAGGACAAGTACTGTATTAAGTTTGGCTACAGGAGCAAAGGTCTCCTGATAGTCAATTCCATAAGATTGAGTGAACCCTCTAGCTACTAACCGAGCCTTATATCTATCAATGCTCCCATCAGCCTTCTGCTTTACTGAAAATATCCATTTACATCCCACAGTTTTCTTACCAGGTGGTATTGATGCTAGGACCTATGTGCCATTTTTCTCAAGTGCATTATACTCATCTAAGGTTGCTGCTCGCCATTCAGGGACCTTCAGGGCATCAAAAACTGAACCAGGAATCATGGTTTTATCCAAAGAAGTCACAAAAGATAGGAATTTCTGTGATAGGTTTGAATAGGAGATGTAGCTACGAAGTGGGTGTTGAGTACATGATCGAACGCCTTTTCTTTTAGCAATAGGCAGATCTAATTTTGGATCACTCTCTGCCACCTTTTCAGAACTTGACTGTGGACTGAAACCTGCCTCATTTTGTGACCTTTCAGGATCAATTGAACTTGGGAAAGTCTCTTGACTTTGTTGGCTCCGTTCGGGTTGCTAAGGTATGTTTCTTCTTGTGTAAACTTTTATTGCTTCATCAGGGAGATTGAGATGTTTAGGATAGATCACAGAAGATGGACTTGTTTCGGGTGAATGTGGTGGATTTATTTCAGATGATGAGTTGGGTAAGTGTGATGATTCTTGTGGATGAGATGGACTTGGATTTGACTCAAGGAGGGCTGACTAATCCCAATTTTGTAATTCATGAGTGTCATACTCCCCCTGGATTGCAAAATTGGGAAAGAATGATTTATCTTCAAAAAACGTGACATCCATGGTGCTATAGAATTTGCGTGTGATTGGAGAGTAGCATTTGTAGCCTTTTTGATTGGCTGAGTATCCAATGAAAATACATTTAAGAGCACGTGCATCGAGTTTGCTACGGTTGTGGTGGCGAATATGAATAAATGCAACACAGCCAAAGATTTTGAGAGGGA